TTGAGAGCACGAGCACCTGTTCGGTATCAGCACAGACCACAGCGTCCTTATTCACATATTTACAGCGTAAGTTAAAAGGGTGCGGGGAGGAGATCCAGTACCAAAGAGAAGTGGGTGCACCTATAGAGCCTTCGCTGGCCTGGTTGCTAGCGTGGCTGGAATACAGAGAGGAGCCCCTGAGGGCTGCTGACACCCTTCTGTGTAATGCAGCCTCCTGGAAAATCACTTTTCCCTTTTAAGGGGGTGCAGAGATGAAAGTTTTTCTCTCCCAGCATTAGACACTCGCTGGCTTCAGGCTACGCTCCATTGGCACCAGCCTTGCTGCCCTGAGCTGATTCTATTCGAGTCTAAAGGCAAGAGAAAGTTGCAGGTTTTAGACAGTACCAACACAAATGCTTCTTGAAATTCAAAACCTTTGAACAAGGTGTTTTCCTCTTTACTATTGGAAGAGCAATCTCCTTTGGAAAGTCTGTGGACTCTGAAAAGCTTACCTCTCGTGTGGGAGGCTTGACTGGCAATTTCTCTGTTGGCTGAGAGAGAAATTCTTCATCCTTTAAGGAGAGAGTAGCTTTAAGTCACAGAACCCTCTGAGGAAACAAAGCTCTAGCTAGACCCCATACAGCCCCTTTTCCTACTCACAGACTGCTCTTTCCTAACCTTTGTTCCCTGTACAACGGGGGCAGGATCCACAAGGGTCTCTCGACCTTCAAGAGCAGATGTCACAATTTCAGCAGCCTCACCCGCCTACGGAAGAACATACTGTTCAGCACAGTTATAAATTCGGTCCACTTGGCGAATCAAAGAACAAGACTCGTGTTACAACACTTAATTTTTATAATGTGCAATGGTTAAACTATTAACCTGAAAGCCTTATTTAAACAACTCACCTTGTTTTGTGGTACTGGAACAGATTGTGGCTTTATATCTATCAAGTACAAGGCACGGGAAAGCAGGAGCAGAGAAGGTGGAACGTTCTCTTTCAAATGCAGATCCAGCCACTGTTAGAAGACAAGCAGAAGGAAAAGTTATTTCGTACTGGCTCTAGGTCAGCACTTATTTACACAGCACTCTTTGTCCTTAAAGATCTGAAGGTAGTTTCGAGTTTGGCTACTATGGCTGTAAGCTACCGTAACAAGAAGAAATTGTTTTCAAGAGTCATGAGTACAGCGCAGAACACACGCTAGAAAGGAAGTTTCCAGCTACTTGTGAGGTATCAACATCGCTACGGACAAAGAGCTGTACGCAAACAACTTGCAAGAATTCTGTGTGAAACCGCGCCTGCTCTACGTGAGTCTTGCACGCCACTGTCCTCGGAGAAACCTCGTCAAACAAGACCAGAGCAGGGCACACTTGCCTGCCTGAGCTGCTCCTTTAGCTGCTCCTCTGAGAGACCCAGCGATCGCATTCCTCTGGCCCTGCAGGCGCTCTGCAGTTCGGACACGCTCAGGCCATTGACTCCTTCCTTGGCAATCATCTGAAACGAAGAGGAACGTTCCTATCTAGGCAGAGAGTAAGCCAAAACCCTGATGCACTGGATGAGCTTGAGCCCAAAGAAATAAATCCAGCCCCTTTATAACATAATATACCCTCATGCTGAATTTGGTTGTTTAGTTTTTTGGTACAACATTTACTCCAGAATTAGAACCTTCCTGCTTTTTTACACGTTAACATGACTCCAGAATAAAAATCTAGGCATGTTCTAAACAGTGACAATATGTGCAGTGCCACACTGGTTGGGGTTCACCAAAGGCAGCAAGGGTGCAGGAAGATGAACTCTCATTCTGGTTGTTTTTTTTTGTTTCTGGAATCTCTCATGGAGAGAATCTCACTCTCAGCAATATCAAACCTCACATCTGAGGATGGAGTGTGGGCAGTGACACGTGCCTTACGTAAAGCAGGCTGATTCAGAGGGCAAAACTCGAGACTGCAAAAAGCCTGTGTTCCACCAAAGCAGTAACATCCATCATCCGTGCTATTTTAAACTTACTTCGTCATCTGCCTTGATGGTTCTGAGTCTCAGCAGAAGCTGGAAGCGGAGCAGGTTGTTGGTGCCGATGGGCTGCAGCTCCAGCAGCTTGCAAAGAGCCACCAGCTGCAGCCGTTCCAAGTGCTCCAGGGTCAGCTCGTCCTCAAAGAGCTTGGAGAAGCGCACGATCTCCTGGGTGCTGGGCTGGTGGCCGGTGTGACAGATCTAAGCCAAGCAGAGGCATCAGGGACAAAAGCCAAACCTATCCAGAATCCAGTTTGTGAATCTTCTCTCCCCGCCCCCTCTGAGCCCCATTTTACCTGGTGCACGTAAGAAGAGAATTGTTTTCCTTGTCCCGTGTCTGCTTTGTTCCTTTTCGCCATCTCCGCAATGGTCTCCTGCAGGAACTTGGCTAACTCCATCTTTGCATTCAATTTCTTTTTCTGCTTTTCTTCCTTCATTTAGGAATTAAACATAATTAGAAATTCCCCTTGAAAAACCTGAAGGGGGAGGTTTCTGGGAAAGGGATGAAATAAGATTTCGGTACTGGAAGCAAATAGGCTTTGGTTGCTGTGGAAAATGAGGCTGCTGTGCACTTTCCTACCAATCACTGCTCACGGGACAACTGTAAAATTCTGCTGTCCTGCGCAGGCATACGCTGGGGTGTCTGACCCAGACGTGTGCGAGGCTGACACTCGTGTTCAGCAGCAGGCAGGAAACACGAGCTCTTTATGCAGTTGTAGAGATGCTCTAACGAGCTGGAGTACACAGCTTACATCGTCAGGACACAAAAAGGACACCAACCTTTTTTGACTCGGTCTCGAATGTTGAGGGCAGCATTTCAGGGAAGAGTTTCAGGAATACAGGCAGCAGAAATTCCATGAAGGGGACAATGACAAACACCAGGAAGGGAACGAGCCGGAAGAGATCTGCACAAGTCCGCAGCAACTGCACAGAGAAGAGCAGAGCATGGATTATTATGTAACCAGACACCAAAAAACATGTGGAAACTGAGTGGTTAAGCCTCTGTCGTTACGGTAAGCCTCTTAACGCACCGTTTGAGCGAGGTGTTCCTAGTCAGGCACTCACCCTTCGTCTCTCCCTCCTTGTGAGGACCTGCCCGTGCAACAGCCTCCACACCATCCTGGCGGCCACCTTCGTGTCGACCCACAGCAAGTGGAATCCGTTGTAATAATGTTTCAGCTCATCCGCAATTTTCTGGCGTAAAGGCTTTTTTGCCACGGGAGCGTTTGTGACTTGTTTTGTGGGAGCTTTGGCAGGCTTGGTACCCTGGTTTGTGGCACCCAGGGGAGGTGGAGGCTCATCTTGGGGCTCGTGGCGCCAGCAGGCGGACGTGTGAAACGCTGGTGTGACCGCAGCCGGCGAGCGAGACGGGACAGCGTGTGGGTGTGCGCGGCGTGGCCACGGTGCATTCTCGGAGTCTCTCACGCGAGCCCAGTTTAAATGGAAATCCAGGAGTTGGACAAAGGCAGCAGCTGGAGGGTTGGAGCGCGCGAGGAGGTGGGAGCCCCTGAAACTGCAGAGGGAGTTAAGCAACAGCGCGTTGTGGCGAAGGTGCCTGGGCGTT